GCACCGATACAACTTAAGGAGCTTCAAGAAATGAGCTTACTTTCTTTTGAAAATTCGGCAACGTGCCTGCAATTCCCCTGGGGTTGTATTTGCTAATAGGCGCTGGTAGATACTTGTCATCAGGTAGCCGCATTCTGGTTTGTCCCTCTCTTCTATATAAATAAGACAATAAGACGAAGTAGACAATGTTCAATTTATGTTCTGGGAGTGGGAGTAATTTTTGTGATTTCAATTCGAGCCACTCGCGGTTAGGGGCCAAAAAGTTAAAACTCAAAAATTCTTTATACGACTAGGATATTACAATTTTTCGAATTTCGTACTTGGAGGCCGAGGGGCTCCCTTTAGCTTGGGGGCCTTGGGGCACTACTTCGCCTAGCCCCTGGGTAGCTACGCCACTGCCCCTCGGTTTATGAGAGTGAGAAAATGGAGAATGCACCCGTACTTACATATATACTCGTGCACTATAATCCTCTCCGCTAGGAGTAAAGTATTCTGTGTATAATCCGGTGCAGATGGCTAATCTCCGTTGAGTCTGGACTGCCGTGACCGGAATTTCGATCCGATAGTTGACTAACATTTTTATTATCTGTGACACATATTTAATAATATATAGATTCTTCTTTATTTACTTTAAATATTTATCTGAAGCAATGTTTTATATTTTAAAGTTACCTTTAAATTTTTTTAATTTTTGCAACGTGGCTATCACGATCATTCGTCAGTACTCTATAGTCTATGTCTAATTTTGAGAGAAGAGAACAAATAATATACTATATTATATCAGTAGCAATCAGTAGATTCGGTTAGAATGTTTGTGGTTAGAATCTACTAGATAGTCTGTGATCAGTAGTGTCAAACTGGGGTTGGGGGTGCGATACCGTAAAATGGGGTGAATAGAAAGGATTTCAACTTTTGAATCGAAATTTCAGTATGTTTTTAGCAAATTCCGAAGGTAGCAGTCATCATGTCTTGTGAGTTAAAGTGTCATAAACTGTTTTCAATGAAAGATTAACTTAATTTTCTCGTCATTTATTTAATAAATTACAATATCTGCGCGTTTTCTATTTACCCGCGATATGGGTGAATGGAGTCGAAAAGGGGGTCAATAGAAAAAAATGCTAGGGTTGTCAAAATTTATTTATGTATGTACCTAGAACATATACCTATAAATTATATATTGTATTGATAGAATCAGGCGTTACTTTGCGGAAATCCATTATCCGCTAAGCTTAGCGGTCAGCCGCCGTAGAGTCTATATTACCTGAGGATGCCTCGTGTAGAGGCGAAACACGTGTCGTATTATCGTCGATGGTGTGTCTTGCCTGGAATAGTGGTGTTGAGAGTAGTGGTGCTTGGTCTAGTGGTGACGGAGTTAGTGTATGCAATTGAGGGAGGGCGGGAGGTGCGCTTCAATCCAGGTAAGACACATCATTTTATATGTTTAGCGGAAAGTTGCAAAGAAATTTATATTTTTATTTTTTATTATATATTGTAGTACCATTAACTTTAAAAAAATAGAACAGGGATAGTAAATTATATTTTTATGCAAACAATTAGGGCCAATCACCCACACAATTTTTTTTTTAATAAACAACAGTGAATTTTACCAAAAAATTATGTTTAGTACGTCAGCTAGATTATCAAAACATATTGTAACAACGTGTTTTTATTTTGTCACTTAAATAAAAAATGAGGATGATACAACGCCTTTAAACTTCGGATGATGTCACAAGATAGTACAACAAAATCCCCACTCCAGAGCGCTTTAATGCGCTTTACCAATGTCAAGTTTTATTAATTTAAGGAAGCAAAAGGTACGTGGCTAACGTTTTTTGATGATCTAACTGACGGGACTAAATATAAAGAACTTATAAAGTGAAAAATTCTTTCTATATACGTACTTGTGTAATGCAAAAGAATCTAAATAAAATCAACTAAAAACAAAACCTATGTGATTTAACATAATAATCATAAAATAAAGTTAATATTTTTATTAATCATATTACGTACGTAAGTAATTATTATAATATTATTTGGAGCATTCCGAATTTATATTTAAATATTATCATCTAGTAAGTCTCTTAGTATAGCCTCATCGTCTTTATAATATTTGCTCGGTCTTGCAGTCTTCTTTAAAATTATTAAAGGCGCTTCAGGGGAAACATTTTTGTACTTTTGATCATACGTAATATTCTTGCGAGTTTCTAAAAAGTTTTTATTTTCTATTATCTTTATTTTTTCTCTTTTCATCTTCGGTAAAGTTTCAGTTATAACTTCTGCCACAGAATATTCTTCTTCGTTATTTCCTAACGAACAGTTTGATTCACCAGCATGATCAGACTGACTGACGTTGTTTAGACCGGTTTCTGTATTTTCAGCTTCTGCTGTAGAGTTTATTATTATTATATCACTTAGTGGACAGTTTTCAATAGTTAGTTCTCCTCCACATTCCAAGTCATTTTCAAAATATACAGGCATATCTAAAACACTGTCATTGAGGTCTATAATATCATTTCGTTTGTCTGTAAATGCATTGCCTGTGCCCATATTTTCCTCCATCAACATGCTTGCCTTCCTTTTTGTCTTTTTACCGATCCCTTTTCCTTTAATACTTTTGTTTAAGTTTGTTGTTTCTTTAGGCAATAGATTTTCTTTTTCCACTGAATTATCTGGCTTTTTTATTTTTCTTTGTGGTTTTGATGTACTCGGACCCGGTGTTACTTCGGAGTCAACATAATCCTCAGTAGATTCGCTAACACTCTTTCCTGCCACCACGTCGAGTTTTCGCTTTCTTTTTAATTCTTTTACGCCCATAGTACCATATCGCATGTCATTTAGTAAAGTTAGTACAGACTCATCCACTGCTTCCCTATGTCTACTGCTATTGTTCGATTGTGTTGGTATTCGAGATAGCACTAAAGGATAGATACCAGTTTTTTTTAAAACCAGCTTTTAAATTAGACTCAGCATTTTCTTGTATTGCCTCCATTAATTTCTTCAGTAATTTAGGGAAGCAACCTTTTGGCACACTTGTCTCATTGCTGCCATCTGTCTTTTTCCACTTAAGAAGTATTTGCCGCCAAGCTGCCTTCATGGGCCTAAAAAAGGCTACATCGAGAGGTTGAGTTATGTGTGTTGAATTACTTGGTAAAAATACAAAATCAATTTGCTGTTCTTTGCAAAGTTTTATCATATCGACCGACAAGTGTGAAGATAAATTATCACCTATTAGCAGCTTTTTTCCCGGCTTATCAGCAAAGAAGGGTATGACGATGGATTGCACCCAATCTTCAAAAATTGTACCATCGAACCATCCTGATGCCGAACGATTATACCTTGCACCTTTAGGCCCGTGAGAAATCCATGTATTATATAAATTTTGTGCTTTGTATACCACGTATGGTGGTAAAATCTGGCCCTCTGCTGACCCAGCTATCATTAAGGAAACACTGGCCTTTGTGTGGTTCATGACACGTTCTGGATACTTAGTGCCGCGTTTCGTAATAATTTTTCTGCGCCCTGGATCGTCAGCGAGATTTGTCTCGTCATAATTGACGATATTTGCCGCTGGAACATCGGCCAAAGATATTTGTAGTTCTTCAAAATATTTTGTTATGGTTTCTGCTGACACGGCAGCTCGAGATCTCTTAATATTTTGGCATATTCGTTGAGAAATTTTATCTTTATGTCTATTTAAAAAACATTGGATGAAATCAGGCCCAGGGAAATTATTTTTGAATCGCTTATAAGTAATCCCAAGCTTATCCAGATACATTTTAACAATATATCTTAAGTCTAGTGAGTCCAGTGGATAGCCCCATTCTGCGCAAACGTTTATGTATTTGATGATATATTCTTCAGTTGTCAACGAAAGTGCCCTTTGCCCACCTTGCGATTTTACTAGTCCTTTGCTGTGGCGATACAAAACTGATGGGTGTATATTGTGTTTGATAGCTACAGTTTTTATCGAATCATTACCCATTAAATAATCTTCTACCGCTTGCTTAAGAACATTTTCGTCATACCTTTTATAGCGCTTGCCTCCAGGTTCAGGTTTATAAATGCGCGGCATTGTCCAAAATAATCTGAACAAACAAAATAAACATTTATTTTCAATACGAATGAAAATATAAACATTAACTAACTATTTCATAAAACTACAGTCACTAGGTACCTACAATCTTCCATAAGTACAAAAAAGTATCAGGTATAATTTTGTGTAGCAGCCCTAGCAATGACAATTCTAATCACCCCAGTCGTATTGCTACTCACCCCTCGTGCACTTCTATTCAGACTTTACGCGCTTCTATTTACCCCATACCTCGATTCTATCCACCCCTCAGGCGTCTTCTATTCACCCCAAACTTATTCAATTTATAGGTAGCATAACTTTTGGACTTATTTAGAACAGAAATCATGCTCAATTTGACTTACCTTTGAGTTTTCTTAATAGTTAAGTAACTAACACTTTGCATAAATTCGTATTGATGTCTGAATTCAATCGTAGTAACGAACAGAAATAAAAGTTTTACGCTTCTCAAATTCACAACCGTTACTTGATCACTTTGAGACATTATTTTTCGCATTTATGAACAACTTCACTATCATGACGATGTTGCCATAACACAATCAATGTTGCCGTATATAAAAAAATCAAATGTAGCTAATTTCATTGAGCACTGTGAGAGCAATAATATAATGCAACGAACTAAGTTTCGCTTTTTGTTCTATTCCCCCCTTAAATTCTATTCACCCCATTTTACGGTATATTTGTTTTTTGTCGTAATTTCTTAATTCGACGAGTTTACTTTCTTGTAAGGTTAAATTTTTCGAGTGCGTTGTGAAATTAAACGTTTTGCTAATATTTGACGGGGTTTTTATTTGTTGTCCAGAAAACATAATTACATGGCAGAACAGGGACATTGCGTATTGTGATTTTGATGTGTTGTGCAAAATAATTAAGTGACGTAATAAATAAATATTAATTTATTTTCTGAGAGATGGCTGAAACGAGTGAATCACAGGCTAGTGCATCAGCGTCAGCGCCAGGCGGTGATGCTGGCGGAGAGGATGACAAACGAGATGAACGAATGTTGGAGTGCAATATATGCCTGGATACTGCTCGTGATGCTGTAGTCAGCATGTGCGGGCATCTCTTCTGGTAAGAACATCATATTATGGAAGGCGTGTACTAAAACTACAATCGATTAGCGGGGGGAGGGGGGTTTTGGTGTAAGCCTCTGTGAACGGGGAAAGCAGAACCCCACGGATTTCGAGAACAAAGTTTCATTATTTTGTTATTTATTACGTACTGGTTAGTTTATAGTTCTAGTATCTTGTTGTGTGAAATGGGGGAAAATGAATAGTTAGGAGTGAAGGTTAAGCCCTTGTTTTGAGAAAAATTGTCCATGTCTGGCTGGTATTATTGGAATGTTACTAGCAGTAGCCGTATAGGTTCCTAGTTTTAGCCAGAAGCATCCCACCACATCTTTTAACTATGAATAAGTACACCTAACTTTAAGCTACAGTAACCAACTGCACATAGCTAGCTAAACCTTAATAGTCAGAAAAGTAAAATTTAATTTATCATCCTTTTACCAGACCATTAGACACTTTGTAAAGGGTACAATGATATATTATAAGAAAATGACAAAAATAAATTTTGCATCAAAACTTAAATAAATATAAGAAAAAATGTTAAGAACTTTTTTATGTATAAATGCAAACCAAGAAGTTTTTTCCAAACTTCTTATAAGTTTTATGATTTATGAGACAATAATCATAAACTTAACTATAAAAAAATATTGTGATATCTTCATTTAATATAAAGTTATTAAAGTTTTAAGAAACAACAATTTTTATAAGTACTACATGTTCAGTGATGTGTGTTTTCTTGATATATCAAGCAACACTGATGAAGTTGCGGGTATCAGCTAGTGTTATATAGATATTATTCTATTCTTATCTAAATGAAAACATTGCATCATAATTCTTATGTAATTATGATATATGTTTGTAGGTCCTGAAAAATTGTAAAAGTTCAAATTGAAGTGTGATTATGTATGATATAATATAGTGTAAAAAATTACATTAGAAAACTGTGTTACTGCTATATCATTACTAAAGTTATAACCTACAAATTGATTGTAGGTTTTGTACTGTTTGAACCCATTATTTTAACCAAACAATTGCTTTTTCCATTTATGTGATTTTCAACAAATCAAGTTGTTATTTCATTAAGGTTTTGATTGGCATTCAAATATTGATTTCTTTTATCATTAGTTGTCCCTACTATTACATAATATTTCAAAATCCGTATAACATCACATCTACACGACATCTATTCAACTTATTTAACACTGTCACACTGACATTGGTGAATACATCAAAATCACCATAAAGCAAAGGAAGAAGAAGATTAGGTCCATGTCCGCCAATGGTATTTTATATGTGGTGGAGCCATGCTAGAGCTATACTAATAGTATAGTTGTAGCATGAATGGGTCGTCTCGACCGGGAAAGGACCACGCTCTTACAGAAAACCAGTGTAAAATAGCACTGCCTTGATACGGAAGAAGGCAGCTAAGTGCATTTTGCCGATTTTGAGCTTTCAACACTACTAAATTAAGCAAAAAATTCTCTATCGGCCAATATTGAAATTATATTTTTACGTTTGATAATTCCAGAGATAGATTAAGCATTTTGGCGGTTAAGTGCAAAATTTTCTTTACTGTCATACCCTAGAAATCTGTTGCACCTTTACTCTATAAAACCGATTAGTGATTTTAATGAGTTATTATGTTAGTTGAAGTATAATATTTGATTTTGTAAAGCTAAGAAAAAATGTAGTTAAACTCATTTCCTAAGCTAAGAGACAGTTAAGCATAGGTAATTGCTTTATTCCTTAGCAGTAGTTTTGTTAGGGTATACCTTAATGATATGCTAAGAAGCGGTAAACACTAGTAGTAAAAGCTAAAATACGACTAACAACATCATCATTATCATCATTATCATCATCATCGTCATTACAGCCCTTCACAAGTCCACTGCTGAACATAGGCCTCCCCCAAGGAATGCCACAAAGCACGGTCCTAAGCCACCTGCATCCATCGACTTCCTGCACATCTCACCAGGTCGTCACCCCATCTAGTGGCGTGACGACGCCACGGTAGTGACGCCCAACACTTCGCCTGCCGGTACGAGGCTGCCACTCGAGAACCTTTTTAACTAACAACACTTAACTGTTTTCAAGCATAGAATTAAAAAAATATAATAAAATCACATACTTCCCAAAAAAAGCAGTCACGGTTTTTTAGTGTATGAATGAAATTGAATTATATTTGAAATAATATTTAAAGAGTGGCAAACTGAATGGGCTATGCTTAAAAACGTTTAAGTGTAAGTTTAGCAATTGATGGATGTGTGATGAATTCGATCAGCAAGTATGATCAGAGCTCTTGTCAGAGTGCATCAGAAGAATATTCCTTTGTTTCGATATTTGATTTTGAAAATAATTTTACTATCCGAAAAAAATGTGTCTTTTCCAATAAAAAGGAACTTTAGACTCAATTTTCCTCCAAGGTTTTGCCGCTTGCAGATCAACCATAAATTACGAGGAAAAAGTTTAATAGGATTAATAAATGTGAAATATTTTTTTCTAATAATTTATCTACTTCTAACAGAGAATAAAAACTGTCTGTACGGAATCGCTATACCTGCTAGGTGCCCCGTTGTTTTTCAATAGTATTAAACCTGTTTTAAAAACAGAATTTTATCAGTTTTTAAACCACGTTGATAAATTGTACATCTTAAGCCCCCACATTGATCTTACTATTTTAAAACTTGTACCTAGATTTACATACTTCATTCCAGTCCAGTCTGGAAATGTTCGGATATTTTAAAAAATATTGTTAAATAATCTTAAAAAAACTATAGAAAAATTCTAAATTTTACTTTAAATACAACAGCCTCGATTCAAGCTATTATATCTATAAAATTTATTGGTATTGGTGTAAGAAATCTTTCTAGCATTGCATTGCCTGCTTTCCTTGCTTTGGTGCATAGTGTCAGTGACTTATGTAACATGATTTTAAATAATAAAGTAGACCTGTGATTTGCTACAGAGGCAGGTCAGACATGGCAAACGTTCTGTCCTGGCGAGAATGTTCCACTGGAAGTTATCCAACAAAAACAGTGGGATATTCCGTTGGTACAGAGTGTGCAGAAAGATATGTTTCATAATTTTCATAGTGACCAAGATCAGGCATGTCTTCTAGCTGTTTCGACTAAGGAATCTAGTCACTGATTACACACTTTACCATCAAGTAATCTCCGTACATTACTTGATGGGGAAAGCTCGTGCATCACCGTAGGAATCCGACTAGAAGCGGCGATTTATCAACCCCATCAGCGACCCTGCGGTAGCAGCCTCAACGAATTTGGGCTCCACAAACTTTCATGTAAGAAAAGTGCTGGTAGATTTTCTCGGCACGGTTCTTTGAATGATGTCATCCGAAGGGCTCTTGTCTATAAATGTTCCCTCGGTTTTAGAGCCTTGTGGAATATTTAGAGATGATGGAAGGAGACGCGAAGTTATGACATTGGTTCCTCGGGAGAGAGGTACCACCCTAGTGTGGAATGCTAATTGCGTAGAAACTTTGGCGGCCTCTTGAAACAATATATTTGATATATTGTTTCAAACTTACGTTAACTACATTTTTAGACTTTACAGAACAGTATGTCAATAATTTCAGTTAAAAATATTTATGAAAGTTTCGAAATTTTTTTTTTACATTCCAATATTTGAAACATTTTTCGCAGAGATATCTATCAAGAAAACCAATTTCGAGAATTTTTTTCAATTTTTCTCGAAACATACTTTTGTGCCTTAGCCGCCTTTTCCCGTATCAGGGCAGAGCAGCTTATAATACTGCTGTGCTTTGTATGGCGAGTGAAGAGAACCGGAGACCCTTTTTACTGGAAAAGCGGCACTCCATCTTAGTCCTCACGACTGACAATGCATCTGTATTTAAATTCACAAACGAAGATAGATGTAGATGTCTATAGGCCACAGCAACCACTTACCATCAGGTGGATTGTGTGCTCGTTTGTCACCCTTATTCTATAAAAAAAAAGTGGACAGGCTGATTTGGCAGAATAAGAAGACATCCTATTACATCAATTATCTGATTATCAAGACGTACACACTATTCCATTACAGCCTAAAAAAGTTCACTGCCAAACGTAGGCCTAGGCTTTCATACATACATACATACATAAACACTCACGCCTGTCACCCAGAGGGGTAGGCAGAGATTATGGACTTCCATTTGGCACGATCCTGACACACCTCTCTCGCTTCCTCCACATCCATATACCTACGCATACACGCTCGTCGGTTAAAGGTATTCTTGATTTGGCCCATTTTTAATATATCGCCAATTTGGTCGATAAACTTTCGCCTAGGGCGACCCTTCCCGACTATGCCGTTCACCTCTGCAACATAAATTTGCTTTGTCACTCTTTCCTCATTCATTCTTTCTACATGGCCAAACCACCGAAGCATTCCTTTCTTAATCCTGGTCATAACATCATCTTGCAAACCACACTCTTCTCTTATTAAACAATTTCTCACTCTGTCATTCAGCTTCATCCCTAACATACTCCTTAATGACCGCATTTCTACAGCATTTATTCTTCTCTCATGCTTCTTCTGCCACACCCAACTTTCACCAGCATACATTAAAGTAGGTACTAACACAGCATTGTGAATTGCCATACGTGCCTTTTTGGACACATTCTGACTTTTCACAATAGAGTGTAGAGCCCCATTCACTCTATTTCCTGCATTCACTCGTCGTTCTATATCCTTATCATATCTACCATCCCTGCTAAACACACATCCCAAATATACAAATTCATCTACTTGCTCTACCAACTCCCCTGCTATTCTTATTTCACATATCGTTTTACTTTCTTCTTTTTCAAAAACCATAACTTTCGTCTTACTTGCGTTCACTTTCATTCCCTTTTCTTTTAATGTCCTGTTCATTAATGTAACCATCATTTGCAACTCGGCTGCCGACGATGCAAGTATGACTTGATCATCGGCGTACAAAAGGCATTTGACGGTTAACTCACCCATTCTTAACCCGCATTCTTC